CAAGCAGCTGAGCCAATCCACGCACCCCATTGTCAAACAGGCCGCGGATCACCGCCGGCGTCATTGCGCCTGTCTCGTCCATGTGGCGCGCGTTCGGCTCGATCACGTCGGCTGCAAAGCGCGCGACAGAGTCTTTGAACATCTGCTCGTCGGCCGTCAAGACCGTGAGCGGCATGGGCGCGAGCGATTCGCTCGAGGAGCTCATCGAGCGACAAGTAGTGCTGCGCGTCGCTTGTGAAGCTGCTGCTGCGGCTGCTGCGGGTGCAGCGGTTGTTGAGGCCATGCGGCGCGGGGTCCGAATCATTCGACAGCGGCGGAGCATTTTGTCGGACGGCTTGTGGGTCGTTCGATGCAAATTCAGGAATGATGAGCAATGAGGGCAGTGGCGCGGAAACAAAGTGCTTTGTTGTAGGTTCGGCGGACGTCGCGTAAAAAGCAGAGGAAAAAACACGCGATTGGGGCTTGCGAGTCCTGCACGGGTGGACCAACTTCAAGTAGCTGCATCAAATCCACGTCCTTTGATGCAGGACGAGCGCTGAAATGCCGATAGAAACGGGGTGGGCGCAACCCTACCTACAGACAGACCTACAGACCTACCTACAGACAGATAGACCTACCTACAGACAGACAGACGGACCTACCTACAGACAGACATACCTACCTACATCACCCGGCGATTTGCATGGCGGATCAAGCAGAGATGATCAGACCAATGCACTTTGTCGTATCGTATCGCACAGAGTCAATCAGTCGATCAGTTAACTCCCTGCAACGACTTCAGGCGCCATGTAGAACTCCTTGCCCACTTGGCCCCCGTCGCACAGCCGCCGGGCGTCCGTCGACAGGCCAAAGTCCGTGATCTTGCACACGCCACGACATAGCAGGACGTTCTCGAGCGACAGGTCTCGATGGGCGACTGCACGACGTTGCGGTGTCCGCCTTTGGCTTCGAGCAGAGCAGCGACCCGCTGTTCTTGCAGGGGGTTGTCGATCTCGCGCGGCGCGTGGACCAGCAGCTGACCGTATACTTCGACGGTCAGCTGCTGGCGCGTAGCAGTTCGTCGGACAATCGCTGCTGTTTGAAGAGATGGGAACGATTGTGACCCGAACGTCAACTGCAACACGTTCATGCAAACAGCGCCTTGCAAATGGTTCCCGTTGTTCGTCAGACACACTCCAACTGTGATTCTCACTGTGCCACTCGAGTCCGTCTTCTTGTTAGCTCTTCGTCTTGTTGGTTCGCCGTCTGTGACCGACGTCTTTCGTCGCAATCGCCAGAGCAGGTGGGGACTCCATTTCGAGTTTACTGTTCGCGTAATCCATTGGGGCGATGCGTTGGCTGGAAGCGTCGCGGAGGATACGAGCAGAGGTGAGACGGCGAAGAACTGACCGAGTTGTCTGCACATCCACAGCGTTGCTCCATGCAGTGGGTGAGGTGAGTCACGCGTTCCACCAGTGGGTTGTTCGCCACTCGACATTCTTGAGGGGAGTTGGGTGGTGCTCCAGCGACATCGCCTGCACGCGTTGGCAGCCGATGAAGAGACAGTCAGCGCCTTTTCTTCTTCTCCTTCGTCTCAAGATGCGACCAAGTGGGTCGGCTACGACGGCTGTGCGCCGGCGAAGGGCAGACGTGTCGAGACGACGGACCGACTCTGCCTCAAGTGCATCGTCGTCTAGCGTTACTGTCTCTGTTCCTCTCGTACGAAGCGCTGCCTCGCCCTGTAGCGTGTCACAGGATGAGGAAAGAGCAGTGCAGAGGACAGCGAGTGCGCTACGACCGCCACGCGACGTCCTGTCAACTGCACGACTCCGTCCCTGAACACGACTCCGTCCCTGAACACGAGTCTTTGCATCGTCGATTGCAGCTCTGCTGCCTCGAGCCACAGACACTGCCAGCGCAGGACGTCGTCGATCAATGAGCAACGAGACAAAGAGCACAGAGTGGAAAGAGGAACTGCGTTGGTGGCCGCGATTGCATTATTCAGTGCGATTAAATATCTACGTGCTCGCTCGGCACGAGAGCTCCGTCGTGCGCGTTCGTTCCGCGCAGGACAGGCACAACCAGCTCGGGCGCCTGGTCGGCCGGCTCGACTAATAGTAGCAGTACGCGCCATCCGGGACCGCAATGCGGTTCATTGGCGGCGCGACGTCCGCGCGGCCGCGTTTCAGCATCGGCTCGTCGTCGCTGGCAAACGTGCTCCGTGTCCGCGTTCGATTGGCTTTGGGAGGGAGCGGAGGCGCGGGGGCCATCCCGGCAGGCGGTGGCGGTGCGTTCCACGCCGTGGCACTGGGGCCGCCCATGTTCCACAAGTAGTAGCCGTCAAAGGAGGTCGCGCCTGGTAGTTTCGGAGAGGCCCCGGGGAGGCCTTCAAACAGACTCTGACCGTCGTGGCGGGCGGCGGCGGGCGTGCTGCCCGGTATCGGCTGTGCGTCGTCGTCCTCGACCAATAGTCGCAGCAACTCTTGCATCATTGCCAGTTCCTCGGCGTTGAAGCCGGCAAAGAGCTCCATGTCAGTGGGGGCAGCAGACTGTACACTGCGACGACTGCGACGCTCGACTTCGGTCCGAACTGCAGAAAGTGGGAATGAGAGCTCGAAACGAAGACGTGTGTTTGCTGCCGGAGCAAAACCACGTCGTCTCCTCCTCCCCCATCCACAAGAGGCCAACGAAGAGGCGTTGGCTTGTCCGACAAGGGCTGCGCGGTGACCAAAAAAGCAGCAAGACAGGTGGTCCCAGACCCACAAATCGTGCGGATCAGAGCTTTCGGTCGCGTGCGGGTAGCGTGTCGAGGCTCGACGTGTATCCTCTGAGCTGCGGCCAGCCAGACCTTACAACGCGGCAACATCGACTTGATATCGTCCTGTCGACACGGACAGAAGCGAGGTTCAGTCCATTGCAACGTCTCTTCTCGTCCCCTCGAGGTCGAGGATTCGATTGCAGCACTGACAGCTTCAGGTCGATCGACCGCGCCACACGGCTGCTGGCCACGCTCTCGAGGGCTCCAGCAGCACAAAGTCGTTTCGTTGTGCCGTGATGGGGTCGCTCGGTCCATGATATCCACTCTTGTCTTTGCGACAGGGCTATCTACGCTGCGTCAGTCGTCATGGCCCGTCCGTCCGTCCGCAGTACCGGGTGGTGGCTCGATGATGACCAACTGGTCAACATGAACGACAGGAATACCACTCCAGCTTGATGGCCTTCCGAATCTAGAAGAACACCAAGTTCGCCGTCAACTTGACTCGTACGGCGGGATCAACATGCACGAGCTGCAAGGCTTAGGAGTCGCCGCGTTTCGAGCCGAGATCCGAGTGTCGACTCTCCTGCCTGTAGGAGCTAGAAAAGGAGGCGCATCTCAATGGCACGTACGGTATTCTTGCACAAGTCGACACCTTATCACCACTGCCGTTCAACAGCAGCAGCAGGTCGTGCGTGCGTTCAGTGTCGACGATATCAGGCATCCACTCATCGTCCAGGCGAAGGGCCTTGACAACGAGTTCAAGGATTGTCGAGCGCCCATCGAGTAAAAGCGTTCACGAACTCGAGTTGCCGAGAAACAGACGGTGGGTTCGGAGCGGATCCCGATGCTACCGTTGCTGCTTCTTTGCGACGCTAGACAAGACCACCGCTCTACTCTTTTACATCTCGCAGAAACGGCGGAAGCGTAGATAGAAGTTGCCATGCAGTGTCGCGGGCTGCTGGAACCAGCGGGCGTGAGAATATGTCGCTTGGTGTACATATTCGCAGCGTCGATGACTAGCGTAGTCGGGTTTGGCCTATTCGTTCGTTGGCTGTCCAGCCTCTTGTTCTTTCGGATGGTAAAGTCATACAATTGGCGTTCCAAGCAGAGGAACTATCCACTCATCCGTGCGCCATTGCCGGGGACGCTTCGCAGCGACGAACGACGAGGCATCTGACGAGGCTCTTGAAGTTACCAGCGGTTCCGACGTGGCGATGGAAAGTGTCTATTGAACAGAAAACTTCCGTACACCACCCACCATCTGCCTTCCGTCGGCAGGCACCTGCGATGTCATTTGCGCATGTCTTTCGAATGTCCATGTCGTCCCCCGGGATGCGCGGACAAGTCACGTGGCGCGGAGGTTAACTGCTCAGGACTTGGCAGAAGGACGCAAGGATAGCGGTGCGCTCAAGCGGCCATGGTCGCTGTAGCACGATCCCATCGCACAAGTCTGTGCATGCAACTATCCTTCAGAGTCTAAGCTGCGCAAAGCTACACATCTACTTTCGGCGAGTGCGTTGACTACTTTGAGACCGACAAGCTCGTTGTCATCAACTTGCTGTGCACGTCGCAGGACCTTTGCACCGGAACGTCGACGTGGACGAACGTTTGCGGTTGACGTCGTTGCCCTACTCGTTTCCAGCTGGTCTTGCTACTGGCCAATGCGTGCAACAGAGCGTGAAGATGCGACCGAGAACACGACTGCAGTACTGGACAGCGAGTTGTCGTTCAGCAAAGCACGCGAAACTTTGGCAAGACAAAACAAGATAGACGCGCGTACGTACGTACGTGGACAAGCAAAGCTATCTCTCGGCTCCTCACTATCTGCGGCACGACGACGACGACGACTGACCTTTCGGTGCGTGACTAGCGGCACTGTTGTTGGTCACAACTGGCCGCACGAGGAGCACTATGTTACGGGTAGTGGGGTAGAGGGGCAAGGAAGGACCTGCGATAGTTTTCGGATATTCTACTCAGCATTTGCTTGTTCTCGAGAACTCTAGTGCAGTCTGAGGTCTGTTTGCGTCGAACGAGCGAACGCTGTGCTTGCCGCTTTCTCTCATGTGTGGCAAGGAATACGTCGTATCAGAGCGGTGCTGTTGCGTCGAGCATCTGCGCTATGCTGGACTGTTGTCGCGTACTTGAGGAAAGACCTGGCCACCTCTCGTCTGGCTTTCTCGAGTGCATCCAGAAGTAATGAAGCACGACAGCAACAGCAGTCGAGTCATCTTCGGGCAAGTGCTTTTTGTCTTGTACTGCGGTGACCTTGCAACACCACAGCCTCGTGAGTTTGTAAATGATGCGGTGAGACGTGTGAGACGTCCCACGAGTTCTTGTGCCTGACAAGTGCACGACCTCGAACCATTCGAGCGCGACATCGCGTAGCCGTGCCAGTGCTTTGCAAAGACATGTCGACCATCGATTGAACGTTCTCCGCATGCGCAAGCTGTCTGGAGCTTCACAAGCGAGATGAGCAACACCAATGTCTGTAGAAAACCCGGTGGCTGTACGTGGCTCACCGCGTCGTGCGGGACTCCTATCCGGCTATCCAGCGCTTGTCTATCACAAGTATCGACAAGCGACGACGCGCTCCTCGTCGTTACCCCTCTCGACGAGACGCTCCAACGCTCGACGTACAGGCATCTACAGTACATCATCGTCTTCTGACGCTCACTAAGAAGCCGGCAATGTCGGCTATGATTACGCTGGAAGGCCGCACGACTGATGCAGTCGTCATCATAAGCATCGCCAAGTCTACGGGTCTGGTGGATTCTTGCGCTGCGTGCACTTGATAGCAGAAACACACCTTTGCTTGAGAGGTCGAGGTATCGTACAAAGATTCATTAAGACATCATGGTATGTCGCGATTGTACGGGGACAGTGTTCTGGTTATCAACCAACTCCGGAGTAATCGCTCCCCTCTCGAGCCGCACCTCACCGCATTGTACCGAAAAGCGCGAGCTCTTGCTGACGATGTCTCCGCCGCTAGCTGGGCTCTCCATATCCGCGAATATAATAGGACGGCTGACCTTGAAGCGAGCATTGCGATGCATGCCAAGGCAACTCTTCAGGTTCACACACACACACCTATAGACGCACTGTTTCGGACATCACACGTCACATCCAGCACGACGTCAATCACTGGCTCGAGACATCGGCCGATTTCGACAGTGGATCGACGCCTTGCAACAAGCAGACTGTCCGCGAGCGGGCATTGCCAGCACAACAAATGATGGCCAGGCGAACTGCTCTTCGCGCGGTGCGCCCTCATGCACCATAGATAGCAACCCCGGACAGTTAACTCTCTCTGGCACGGGCATTGTTGGTCGATCACGTTCCTCAATATACCTCACCTTCAACAACGACATGTCGCGATTGTACAGAGGACGGCACACGTACAGCTTTATCGTAGCGCTGACCGCGCGTAGAATGGACGTGGGACTTGTCGACGCCACTGGCCGTGCGAACGAGTGGTCAAAGTGGCGGTACCTGTAAGGGATCGCTACAGCATGTGACACGGCTCAGTCCGCGGCTTACCGCACTCCACGGCCTCTTCCCATTCCATGAACACGAGCTCCGTATACAACTCAAAGGCTTCGCTAACTACGTTGTTGTAGAATACATATACACATATGTGCACCATATCATGAACGCATTGTCGCCCTCTGGGCATCTTAGCAATACTTTGTCGCTGCCAACTTCATGGCCGGCACTCGGTTCACTCTGAACGTATTGCGACGCGTGCGCACGTACCATCGTCCGCTGCTTTCGTCTTGGTCGAAGTGCGCCGTCGACGATCGAGCCATTGTGTCGTCTGTATTGCAGCTCAAAAGACGTTACGGTACGAATGAGACGAGCGCGCGACGCAGGACCGGCGTCTCAGTCCCTCTACAGTACGTGCTCGCGACTGGGACTTCGCATCGCGCGTTGCGTAAGCCCAATGACGCCTGTCTGGCTGTCCGGGAAATCGATCTAGCACGAGGCGCGATCCACACACGGGCCAAATAGCCTCAAGGTAGCGGCGGTCGAACGAAGGCGACGTGTGGGCCACTTGATGCCACGAGGACGTCGCTACCGTGTGCAGCATCGGGTCAAGCGAGACCCGACACACTGACTCTACGACGATACACCAACAGAGAGTGGCCTTTTGCCTCCATTGGTATCGGGGGAGGGAAGCGGTGCCGGAGGAGCGCAAGTTCCGAAGAACGCCATGAAGTCAGCAGCACAAACAAATGCACAAATGAACAAACACACAAAGGTACGCAGAATACGACGAGTGCGACGAGTCGCGCCTGCAAGTGCTGCAACGTCGAGCACCACGTGCTGACGATTGTCATGCGATCGCATTAGACCCTTCGTGTTGCGACAGAGTCACAGACAGACAGACAGACAGACAGACAGAATTGGCAAACAGAGATCGATAGATAGGCAGATAGACACAATGATCGATAGATAGATAGATAGATCGATCGATCGACAGATAGATAGATCGACAGCGGGATAGACTGACAGACGTGGAATAAGAAGCGCGCGAGGAACAGAGAGCGCAGCGTGGCCGCTCTTCGCCCGGCCAGCGAGCCGACGTCATCGCGCGATGATTACTATCCGTCGCCTCTCCGCCGAACGGACCACAAGCAAACCCACGCGTTTCGACCGACAGAGCCCCACCAGTGCTCTTCCGAACGTGTCGGTTGTCTCAGCTCTAGCGCGGACCACCAGACTGGCCGTCGCGATCGAACAGCGTGGGGCGGGCAGACGACCCACTTGGTCGCCCGCCAAGCCGACGGCCGTTCAAATCGCATGCTCCCCGGCCCAGATTTTCAGGCTGCAGCGAATAGGGAAACGCCGTCGCTGGCCGTTTCGTCCCGACGTGTCGCACGAACGAGCGCCGCCCGCACGTGTCTACTACGGCCGCAGTGTCCGAAGATGCAAAAGCAGAGGACGGAAAACCAGCAGCAGCAGCAGTACCAGTAGTACGAGTCGTTGTAGTAGCAGTAGTACGAGTCGTTGTAGTAGCAGTAGTAGTAGTAGCGTTTGTCGTAGTATTTGTAGTAGCCGTTACAAGTACTACTTTTGGTGCATTCTGCGCTTTGGCGACAAAATGGCTTATGTGCTGCGGCGCTCCTATATACGCACAAAAAGGGACAAGAACGCGCCTGTGCGTGCCGGTTGTCCCGACGTGCTCACTTGCCATTGTGCTCTCTCGTCCCGAGTTCCGTGTCGTGTCTTTCGAACTCCAGCGCCGCGTCCAGACATACATATTGACATACAAACATAGAGACATACATACCCATCGCTGGTCGGGTTGCGCTCGACAGGAACGAGGAGATCGCTTCCCTTTCATCGTCAGTCTGTCGTTCTCGCTCGTTTTGAAACACTATGCACGCAACGTGCGTCGTCACGGACGTGTCCTCCTCCACAGACGTCTCGCCCCGCTACACTTTGCGCAAGAAACTGTCGTCCACTCTGTATGGCGAGACGGCATTGTACCAGGACGAGGCACTGGAGAAACAGCTCGTGGTGCTCAAGCGCGTGGGCGTCTCGACGTTGCAGCAACAGCAGCAGCAGCAGCCGAGTCAGGAACGCGTCGTGCGGGACAATCCTCTGAGCGAGCGTCTCGTCGTGCAGCTGCTGGAAAACCCCGTGACAAAACGTGCCCCTGGTCGGGAGTTCGTCGTCGAGTACGCTCGCGAGGGCTTTTTCGCGTCGGGGGACAGCGTCTTCATTGCGATGGAGTTCTGTGGCGACGGCGACCTGTACGAGTACGTGACGACGAAACCCGACCGTCGCGTCTCGGAGACAGTGGCGCTCGACCTGTTTTCGCAAGTCGCCAGGGGACTGGCGTTTCTTCATGCACATGGCGTGGCCCATCGGGACCTGTCGCTCGAGAACGTGCTGCTGAAAGACGGCCACGTGAAGATCTGTGACTTTGGCCTGAGCACCGACGCGAACAAACGGTCGGCCGATGTCGTGGGCAAGTTCTACTACATGGCTCCCGAGCTGACTCAGGGGGGGACGTACGACCCGAAGAAGGCCGATATCTGGTCACTCGGCGTGCTCCTCTTCATCCTCTTGACGGGGTCCCCGCTCTTTGCGGACGACAGACGCTGTGCGCCGACGTTGCGGGTGCTCCAGAAGTACGGCGTGGCCAAGATCCTGCAGCTCTGGGGCTTCCAGAAGCTCATTTCGGGACCTGCTGTCGACTTGCTCTCCTGTATGCTGCAAATCGAGCCGCAATTTCGACGGAGTGCTGACCAAGTGGCTCGTCACATGGCATTGCGTCACGTCAATGGGTCACAGGCAGCAGCGCCGTCTGCGTAGTTGTTGTGGGTACGTGGAGTGGGCAAGTGGTGGGTGGGTCTGGACTATCTAGGAATCGATGTGGGTGGGCGAGCTAGAGACGTGATACGTATACGTCGTGCAGTGCAAATAATAGAGAACAAGATATTTATGCAGTGCGGGGCAGGACAAGAGGAGCTGTTTGTGGTCGGACGCATATCGATCTGCGCTCAGGAGCTCATCATATCGTCGGCGGTGGTAAAAAGTAGTACTGTGTGAACACGCAGAGTGCGTCGGGTGACACAGATCGGTCGTCGGCCGTTTTGTATCGGGACAATGGGCCGTCCGCACTGCAGGATCGAAAGACTGCGCCGTTTCGAAACGATGGCCGCCGGTACGTCCTCGACGAAGCCGTGTGACCAATTGGTGTCATGATTGATGGATCCGTCGTTGCGAGCTGCTCGCACAAAGCAGCAGCAGCAGCAGCACCACAGGGTGAGCTTCAGCGATCGACTGTCCAGTGCCTCGACTGTCTCTGGCCCTTTCGAGCAGTCACTGCGTGCGGCCATAGAGGAGCAAAATCTTGAGCTTCGTGGGTTCGCGCGAGAGGATAAAACGATGTATACCCTCGGCATGCGCGATAGCTTAACGTGGCACTTCGACCGCCTCTAGTGCACCTCACTGCACGTTTCAAGATGCCGTTGCAGCAGCAGCAGTCGGACGGTGGTCGACGTTGGCTGTTGTAGGCCGCAGCGACCCACTGGTTTCTTGGCGTCGTGATTGACGGAGCAAAACAACAGCGTCAGGGGGTAAGCTCTTGTGGCTGACATGTTGAGTTCGCACATACTTTGCGTGCTGTCCAGCTTTTCAAAAGCCATGTACGGGTCCATTCCCTTCATGGCGTCGTCGAATATGAGTTCTCTCTACTAGGCAACCCCTGTGCTCCTCCAATCTCCCGCGGAAAAAACAAACTGCTTGTATTGCAGTGCCGGTCGATGCACGCGCGAGTCAACTTGTGGCAGCAACAGACTCTCCTATTGCGTCGCCAACTTCGAGTGTCGTGTTCTTTCTTGCGTGTGGAATGGGCACGTGAACATGGACCGAGTGGACAACGACACGGTGCACTTGACACCGATGGGTCTCAGTCACTCAGTCGTGCACAGGAGTGGGACAGCGACGATCGAGACGATCGTTACATCCGCTCGAGTCTGCCACTCACAAGCAGACATGCCGACGGACGGCAGACAGCGCAACTTGCGTTCGAGAACGTGGATACACACGTGCACGGTAGGACTTTTGCAGGTGGTTCTTTTGCAGTAGCTCATCGAATCTCAGCAGTCGAAAGGGTTTGCAGTCAGGCTCAAGTGATCTCAAACCTCAGTCCCCCCCCCTCCTCACGAAGGCACCTAAATGTACGGGCGTTGGTGTCGTATCAATACATTGCCTGTCATCAACGACCTCTGTCTTTGCTGTCGAGGCACAACCATCAAAAGAAGGCCCTCGAGTTGAGGAAACAGACGGCGTGCACGATCATTTTCGAGCGTGCAACGAGATGCCTGTACATAATAGCGGTTTGGTGCGAATCGAGCACAGCAGCTGATGTCACATGGGCCACGGGTAGTGAAGGCCGGTCGACGAATCGGTCGTCCTGTCCTTGCAGTTGGACGTGTCCTTCTGCGCACTGGATCACCAATAAGTGCATTCGTGGGACAGTAGGACGAGCTCTTACTTTGCACCCACGGCGCACCCCGCACCAAAAACTGGAGGACCAAAAAATGATACACATTTGTCCAAGGTGTCGTCTTTTTCACGACCGACCGACCGACCGACCGACTGACCGACTGACCCTTTTTATCGGACGGCCCGACACAATTCCCTTCAACCTCATTTTTGTGCCCTTTCATCGCGTCATTCTGTCGCGTAAAATCAACGCAATGCCCGGAGCCCCATTATCGACGCTCAGCTCAGCGCTGCTGCCCGCCGACGCACCCGATCACGACACCGACTGGCCGACGATCTCTTCAGGACTTGCAGCACTGCGTCTGCGCGCGAACGCGGAGCTCACGGAGCTGACGGCGGCGCTGGAATCGCTTGAGTCCCCTGCCGGTATCTGTACACTTGGAGAGCATGACGACGTTTTAGCGATTTGCACCGATCTCAAGGCAGTGCAACCCCGACTTTGCGCCATCGAGCAACATTTCCTACAGTTGAAGAGCATCATCCAGCCACGTGTTGACACGCTCGAGACGCTCCAGAGCCGAGCCACATATCTAAAGACGGCCGTGCAGATCGAGGCATTGAGCCAACAAGTTGAAGCCAACGCCGTTCACGGGACGCCGGAGGCGCTGGCGGATTTCCAGCGCTTTGCCGATCTTGTGGCGGCCGTTCCACTGGAGTTTCCCGCACTTCGAGTGCGTGTCAATGGGTTCGTTTGACAAGTTGGTCTCTCGTGGTGCAAGTAGCTCACTGTCGTGCGTCGATTGTTGTCGGTGTGGTTGGCCGTGTTTTGATGCGTGTTTGCTGCCTCTTCTGCTGGTTCCATTGTTTCGATTGCTGTCGCCTGCTTCGTCCATTATTGTTTCTTATTGTTGTTGTTGCGGTGCTGCTGTTTGCATGTTTTCTCTCTTATACTATTTTGCTGCTGCTGCTGCTGCTGCTGTTGTTGTTGTGGTTGTTCATCTGCTGCCTATGTGGAATGATAGAGAAAAGCACTTTGTCGAGTGGACGAGCTGTCGCTGAGTCTTCGTCGTTTTGCTATGGATAAGCTCAAAATGGCTTTGGACATGATCAAGTGGCCCGAACCATTGGCGACTCCGGACGAGCTGAAGGACAAGGTAAAGATGAGACGATGAGGAATCTTGTGAGGGGGAGTGGTGACGGTGTGTGTGTTGACGATGACCTCCATTCAATGCTGCTGCTGTTTTGCTGGTAGGAAGCTGAGCTGCGAAACGTGTCAAATACGTTTGCGTTCTTGTTGACGTTGCAAGTTGGTCAGGAGTCTACGTCGCCAACGACGACGGATCTGTGGGCAATGGATTGTGTGCTGGAACCGCTGTTGCTGCGTTTTCGCTACCACTTTGAACGAAATGAGAGTCTGACTAATCAGTTGGCGAAGCCTGAGTGGTATTTGAGCCACATGCAGGAGCAAATCGGAGTGCACACGCGGTTCCTGGCACAAGTGCTCACTCCAGAGCTGCATCGCTACCGCACCGAAATCCACTGCTGGGATGCCCAGATTCTGATGTTGCGCGGACTCATTCGAGCTGCCAGTCGAAAGCTTGCGCACGACTTGCCGACGCTGTTGACGGTGATGAGAAAAGAATACTTTGATCGTTGTCTGTTGCTTATTTGCTGATCGACAGATGCGTTATGTTCGATGCAGCATCCGCCACTTCTGTGCCATACGTTGGACGAGGTCCTCCTCTTCGAATACGCCATCGACGAAGACATTGGCTACGGTTCCTGGGCCAGCACAGATCGTGGAGCATATCCGCGCTGTATTGATGTGTTCACGTCGCACAATGGTGTGCTATTCGCCTGGACAAATGTCGATGTTGAGTATGCACAGCGTGTGCTTTCGTTGGTTTTTGAGGCCGAATCCTCTGGTAGCGAGCTCGAGCTTGACGCCTGTCATGGAAAACAAGATTCGGTCTGGCGCTTGGAAGAGGAGGTGTACAGACGCGCGAATGGTACCGTGTCTGAGCACGAGGAGACAATGCTTGTTCCTCCAGTTGCGCATCAGTTTGTGGCTTTACTCGATTTTCTATCCCAGCGATTCACGCTCATGGAGGCGGAAGAGCACCGTTACTTGTACGTAATGCAGGTGCACCTCCCGCTTTTGCATCGATTTGGACAGCTTTGTGAGGCTCGCGGATGCCGATTGATGAGCGCCCTGACCCAGAAGACCACGGACGCGAACACCCTGTACATATGGGGGGAGCTGTTTGTAGTGGTTAACGCATTGCAGTGCGTAAAGCACGCGTTGGCGGCATGGGAGCAGAGCAATGTGTTCCTGGAGCTTTCGAGGAAGGTCGCGCGGTCAGAAACAACGCGAGCTCAAGTGCTTCGAATGCACGTAGCCTACTCGAAGCAGGTTTTTGCGCGCGCCACAGCCAGTGTTCTTGCTACTCAAGAAGCGACAGCAGTTCGTCAAGCGCTTGCTGGACCAGGAGCTATGATCGGGCCCACCGCTGCTTTCTCCGCGGCATATTCGGTCGGATCCAAGACAATGAAAAGCCTGTTCCGCCGTGCAGAGATTGATGCAAACGTTGAGGAAGATGATGGTCAAGCGTTACGAGAGAGTGAAGCCTTGTCGGGTGGTACTGCCGCGACCGCCAAGATAATAGCGAGCTACGACAGTCCAGCAAACGAGTTGGAGGAAGTGCAAGATGAGACGCTTCTGTTCTCGCATACAATTTTTGAACGGCAGATCTCGCAGCTCACATCGGTGATAACGATGCTGCTGGACGGTGGCAAGGACATACTACTGCACACAGCGGAGCGTGACGTGGAAATGTACCGCGCAAGGTACGAAGGTGGTGCTGATCGATCTTTGTTCGTTCGTGTGTCGTCTAACATGTCCATTTCGTCTGTGCTTGTGTGCTGTGCGTGCGTCCCTATCATGCCTGTAGCTCTTTTTGGAATGACACAGAGGGCGATGGCGTAAACAAAGACCGTCTGTCCAGCACGCAAACTGTCTCTTCCGAGTTGGCGTGCTCTTACACGCTCATCAGCAACGTGCTGTCCTGCGCGCGTAAGCTGCTTCTTCCCGAGTGCCGGTCCATTCTGTGGGAGTCTCTAGCGTCGGCCCTAGATTGTGCTTTGTTCGATGCGTTCTACAATCCTGTCTCGACGGTGGAGGTTACGCAACTGAGCAGTACAGGGATGCGTCAGTTTACGGAGGACATTGAGTCCCTCGTAGCCATATTTGCAGCAGGATCGACGAAACCGCTGCCTCGGTCCTACTTCCGACTCACTCAGGCTGTATGCAACCTTTTGAACATGCCTGCAGCACGACGACGTGATGTTTGCAAGGCTCTCGACGATGCGTCGATTGCGTTCGGAAGCGAAAGTGGAGATGATTTTGTACAGTACTCGACGATTCTGGAGGCGTGCGGTATTTTCTCGCTGTCGCCAGCTCAAGTTGTGTGGATCTGTGCCTCGCGGCTGGACTATTGTCGTCAAGAGAGACCGAGACATGGAAACCAGCAATGATTGGCAACAACAGGAAGGACATGCCTTTGCACAGAAGAGGGACATTTGCTACGACCAAATGAGAGCTAACGGCAAGAAACGGGCCTGGTTAACAAACACTTTTTGGTATTTCTAGTTCGTAGTCATGCTGCCGGGCTTCTTGCCACGTCGACAAGGCTGCTTGGAGCCAGGACGGCTCTTTCGATTACGCGGGAAGTGTCGTCGAGGTTGCCGAGAAATGCCAATAGCGGCGACGTTGCGTCGATATCGGTCTCCACCCGCTCCACCAAGCTACTTTCTTCGTCCCACACAAAGGTCACGGAGCATGGGTAGTGTAATCGGTGGCCGAGCAGATTCACTGCCAGCGACAAATCCTTGATGTTGTCAGACTCCAAGAGATGGGAAAAGACACACTCCAGCGTGGATTTCGTAACTGTCACACTCAGTACAGCCGTAGCGACGACAATGCTCTCAGACAGCTTGTCCATGTGCGTGAGGTGGAAGCGCAGATGATCGTGATTCGTTGACAGTCGCCGCCAGTGCGCCATCAGGTGCTCGACCCCACTCATGCTACCAAACGCAACATCCGGTGCCATGGTCGATCGCAGGAACATCAATTGTTTCTGAGCTTCCGAAGCTCGCGGGAGGCCACAAGCATCTGGAGACCCCTGCACAATCGAGTCGCCGACTCCGTAGCGAAAGAGCCGAAAGTACTCGAATCCAACGTCCCAGACGCGTTGCGCTGAACCGTAGTGAAGACGACGCCGCTCTATCTCCAGCATTGGCGTCTCAGCGCGTAGTTTGGCGACCGTCAACTCGAGCTTTAGCACGTATTCTCGCTGCTTTTGGCGGTACCGAGCTTGGTTGGATCGGCCCTGCTCGCGACAGGCTTTGGATTTGGCGCTCACTCCGCGCATCCTGAACGTCGTGGGCTTTTGATGAAGGGTTGACAAGTTCGTGGTCGCAGGTGGTCCGATTCGTGCAGGTAAACCGCTGTCGGTCGATGTCTCTGTGTACGGGACACCAAAGCGAATTCGATCGCCGGGAGTCGCCACAGAGTCCTGAGCTAATACCGCGCTACTTTGACGTTTTGCTAGTGGAGGTCTTAACAAGAAGCGGTTGGCTGTTTCGGCCGCACTCGTCGTAGGAGCGGCTAGCAGCGACAATCTCGTCAATGAAGGCAGCGCTGCAGTGGTCAATCGAGTGGACTGATGATTGTGTTGCTCCTGCTGCTGCTGCTGCTGCTGTGAAGAAGACTGTGCTGAGGCGTTGCAGCAGCTGAACTCTTCGACGTGATACCCGGAAGCTGCCGAGCGAGTGACGACGGTTCCGATCACGGTGTTGCCGAATCGCGCGGGGATGATACGGTCAATGGTTTGTCTGCTGGTCGTCATCGTCGTATCGATCAGTGGTGATGACGAGAATTCAGTTGTGGGATTTGGGGCTGTTCCCGTAGTCGCCCCGGACGGCGCGGCACGAAAACTCGTTCCGAACGTTCTTTGCCATACTGAGACCTTCGTGCAGAGTTCAAGTTGTGGCGATTTGATTTCATGCCGAGCGTTCGTGCTGCTCGACTTTGCTCAAATCTCAAATGAGCCAAATGGCGCGGCGATGAACGAGCTGTTTGATGCAAACTGGAAACAAGCAGCTTTTGACCACTGTAGTCAACCAACACATGATTTCGGGTGAAGCGCGAGTGGTTGGCCATGCGACGGTCGTAGGTCAAGATATTACGGCAGCTTGCAGCACGTTGTATGCGTGTCCCAAGGTTGCAAGAGGTGTACGCTTTGGCTCAAATCGAACGAGCTTCACCACAACGTGTAGCCTTCTTGGACCTGTACGTTCGAGACTGCGCAGTGCCAATACATTTGCTACCAGGTTGGCCTCTGGGTCGTCGGCAATGGGCTTTCCCGAACCATTTTGTGGACCGACGCGCGGACCAGAGTGGCCTCGTATTGATGTCGAGGGTACGTAATGACCATCCAGTTTTTTCAGTCTGCTACGTCACTGTCTGCCTGTCTCACTGTGCACTACGTACGTCTGTCGATCTTCCAGACGTCGCTCGCGTCACGCACAAAGCGACTACGATCCGACAACATGAAATCAAGTGCCAACGGGTTCCTACCTCGTGCATACAACGGAAAGTCTGAGTTCCGCCGAGGCGCATAGCACAACGGCAATTCTCTCTCGGGACGTATCTATCGCCTCTCACCGTTGTGCATTGCCGCGTAAAAGTGCTACCGCGACACCAGTACGGGACTCGCTGTTGCAAGTACATGCAGTGGCCATTCGCTGCCCGACTCGACAAAGACTGTGCTAGGGCAGTGTTTACTCATCCCTTCCGCCTGCCGCGTGCCGTAATACAGTGTTGCAGGCCACCAAAAAAGGGGCTGTGCAAGCGCGCGCCAAGTGCACAGCGTATTACGTGTCCGCACGAACGTGAATTTCAACATACCGATCGCTCGCCCGGTCCGGCACAAAGACGCCACAGCGAGGAAATAGACGGCACGGGGTCAGCTTTGGACACGTCCACGACGTTCCCCTGGTCCGCGGCACTTGCACAAAAGTCCTTCTCGTCTCTATCTTGTCGCATGACGACGTTCGTTATTCGAGACAGACGTGAGAGGACGCAGCTGGAGACGCCGAGTGATGATGAGATGGGGATTACTATCATGGCGCGTGTGACAGCATCGTGAACACTGTGTGCCTCTCGACTGGAAGCACGGGTGAAAGCAGAGCTGTGACAGCCGCCCTTGACGACAGAGAGCATACAGTATGCTGGACCCTATCGTGGGAACAGGCGAGCACAGTGGAATGCCTGAAGCCGGTGCTTGACAGCTGAGGACGGTGTCCGGGACTGCGTGCAGCGACGCACGGGGGCACCCACCCCTCAAAGTCGAGTGCTGATGTGAAAACAACGAATTGCAGCAGTCTCATTTGCATAAACCACACGCCGGTGGACGACAGAGCTCCTCCGCGATCGCCGCTTGTTCAACTTGGTAGCGCTGCTGCCTATTGCTGAAAACAAGCCGTTCGGTTGCCATCATCAGCAGCAGCAGCAGCAGCAGCAAACGACGAGGCGACGATCACTTTCGTATGATTTGGCGCTTGTCCAGCGCTAATGAGATTCAGAAGAGAGCGATCGGCTTTTCATTGGTATGAGAGAGCGACACATTGTTCCCTCACGCTCTTGCTCGGTACGTCATCAAGGATAGAGCAGGGACCAATGTCGCTCGAATGAGCGCTTCATGGGACTGTGAAGCACGTATGGACGCTACATGGCCACCATCGTGGCGGAGGCTACTCGCCATAACCATGACTTGCAGTCGCCAGTTGCATCTTTTGAGAGGGTACGTAGCACAAGGGTTGTTTTGCGATCTGGACTGATGTAGCCAATAAACCACTGCCAAGTTGCTCGCGGACCTTTGCGCACATCTTCCCTCAGCTTAGCAAAACCCCTTCTTGGCAGTGCTAACGCATGCGGGTTCAGGTTAGCAATAGAGATCAGTTAGAGGAGCAGAGCGATGTTGTGCATGTGCGCTTAGCACATACGAAGAGTGAAAAAGCAGCAGGGCACGCATTCTGTTTACAACAATGAAGCAAGTAACTCACTATGAAGTAAGTCGTTTGTTTGGCGGGCAACTTGTTACACGCGGTGGTGGAAGCGAGGTATATTGAAAAACGTTATCGACCAGCAATACCCAGTCCAGAAAGTTTGCTATATCTGGTGCTGCTAACTAGTGTAGGTTAGGGAGTGACAGCGAGAAGAGCAGTCCTCCTAGCCATTAGGTGTTGTGCCATCGATGCTCTAGCGCGGGTGTTTTGCAAGTCGTGAGGGAGTTAATCCACTGGCTACGTCGATGTATGTCTCCCTCAAGCCAATGAATGATTGACGTCGTGCTGAATGTGGTGCGCGATATCCAAGGCGGTCGCTCGATTCTTTGGGATGCGTGAACTTGAAGCGATGCCTTGGTATCCATCGCAACGGTTGCAGCAACGGCTGCCATCGTATTAAATGCCCGTAAATCATTATCCCAGCTTGCGACTGCGACGTCGTCCGTGAGCGCTCGCGCTTTGCCGTACATTGAGGCTAGCTTCGGTCTGCTAGCTGAGCGATACATACGGAGTTGAGAGTACCAGTGTACTTTCCTTAATGACGTTCAGCTGTGAGAAATCGCTGAGTTGTGCCCGACGCGGTCCATGGATGAGGCCTATATATGCGGCCGACTTGTTGTACACGATAAGCCATTACACCTGAATATCGAGTCGGTCTAATCACGTGTACCAAGACACTGAACTTGAGTCAAATTTACAAGCTGAGAGTGTTACAACAACGAACGTCCCGTGCATGACACGAGTTGTCTCTCGACCGCTTCTTTTGCTACGGGGTGCTTCGAATACGCCTTCTCCAATATCGCATGACAGTCGACCAGTTGGAGTAAGTGTTTATTGATGATGGGTACTCATGGTCGACAATGTTCCTCAATATACCTCACTTTTAACGACCACTACAACTACAACAACAAGAGTTAGTTAATAGTAAAGAGCTTATCCGTGTAAGTGAATGTGTGACAGGACCACATGTGAAAGCGAAATCGTGCTGTAGCTAGAAAGGGTGTCTGTAGGATCAGGAGATGTCGCGGTATCGAATGGAGAGCAGTGCAGCCGCGTTTTCTGATTTCTATTCTATGTTCGTGTTCATGTGCTCGTACCAGCGACACACAAAATCACTGACTGTTATATTCGTGACGCGATGAGTGCCGCATTGATCCTACCAAATAGCTGTGTGCGTCGCCACTTACTCTGATTTTTTATTAAGGTTGATTCAACGTCGAATAGGAGGAGGGGCATGCATCATCGTGCGCAAACAAACGCGACACTGATGATGGAGATAAATCGCATGTGACATATAATGGGAAATCAATACCCGCAACTTCTTGAGCACGAGATGATTCAAGTAAGGTTTGGCTTACAAGGCCATGTTACGTTGTACTTCGAGGTAAAGTTCAACCAGAATATAGGGTAACGTCGTCCTAAGTCCTAGGTTCACACCACCAGATACTAGATCGACGCTAGGCTATCCTTTGGTGCAACCTATGCATAGTGTAACGGGGTGAGCTCGCTACAAAAAAATTGGTACGAAAGTACCAATTTTTGAATATTATCTGTTTTGATAATATTCAATCAACATCACTCGAAATGAGTGATGTTGTCGGATTATCAACGCTAAGGATCATATCCGTGGAGGAGTCCACTTCTCGGTTGATGTACGGTGTAGATCAACCAACTCAACCAACAATCGCTGCTGGACGCGCGCAATGGGTGGTGAGAAAGGGACCCACATAAGAAAAGATAGTTAAATTTAGTTAGAGTAGGTCAAAGAAGATTGATTGACGTAATATCTCTATTAAATAAACAGTTCTACTTTTCCCTCAAGACAGAGCTTTCGGGTTCTGTTTTGCCTACCTCTTCCTCGGTTTCCCTGTGTACGATTGTCGGGCACACGTCACCCTTGCGTGGAGTTAACGCAAGGGGTGTGCCCCGTTACACCTGGTAGCACTTTGTAGTCCTTCCAGCGACCAAGAATCTCATCCATCATGAACATGACAGATGAGGGAGAAAGCTTTCACGCGACGTGTGGAGGCTTTGCGTATTTGAGTAATCTCGAATGGGCCGCGGTAGGGCGAATGTGCTCTACCGTGGGCGACATTGGCGTTACTGCTATGTTGGAGTCTCTTGACAGAGACCAACAGCATGCCTACATCGCTAGGTTCATTCAATATGGGCTTGCTACCGAACGGGAAAAGTAGCCTTGCTTCTCCAGCAAGGCTCTCAACAAGCCGAGCAGTTGATAGAACTTGGTGCTCAACAGACTGAGCTGTTGAGACAGCAGCAATTTAGTGCTGCTGTGAGCGGGACGACACATGCGCGTCGTTCCGAAATCTTGGAGGTTGATATCTCCAAGCACAGAGGAGTCGAGGAAGACTCCCTGTTGTTATGGTTCGTCGAACTCGACAGAGCCATAAAGGCACGTCGTATCGACGATGAGCAAATGGAATTAGCATTTGCTTAATCACATTTGGCAAGACGTGCCAAGACTTGGGCCTTAGGGCTGAAGATGAGCGACCCATATGCTTTTGAGTCGCTCGAATCCTTCAAAACCCGGCTCAAACGTACGGTTGAGCCGCCAAGAGCAGAGTTCAGAGCTCGATCGGAGCTTCTATAGGCTCAAACAGGGTAAGCGTGACGTGCACGCTTACGCCCAGCATATACGACTCCTTGCGAGTAGTATAACTGCTAACCCAGTGCGTGAACACACGTTAATTACTGTGTTAATGCAAGGGCTCGCAGAGGGGCCCGTCCGAAAACACCTGTTCCGTCTAAAGTTGGGTAC